AGATTTTGACTCTCCAAACCCTCTACCAACTAGGCATACAAGTTCTCTGAATAATCAGCAACTTATCTCTCCATACACTCTTCTAATCAAAAGGTGTATGTGAAAAGAAGAAAAATAAAAGAGAAGGAAGACCTGCTCTGATACCAAGATGTGATTCAGACCAATAAAAATAGTAAAAATATTTCAGATTATAGCAGAAGAGGAAGAGAAGAAGGAAGAATGGAGAAGAAGGGAGAAAGAAGGTGTTCGATAATCTCCTCTTTCACCTCTCTAATCTTTTATTGATCTTACTAAGATTACATAAATTACAAGTCTGCCCTTAAGTGGGCGTCCACATCATCAGCATACTTGGAAAACCTAAAAAGAATTAAAGGCCCATTAAGAACAAATAACAAGAACTAATCAATAAGATAGTAATGGGCTAGGCCTAGTCTCCCTACATTATTAAAAGGAATTTCATTGATAAAACTTGTTAGAAGGAAAATGAAAATAGGGAAAGCTGACACAAGCATTGCAACAAACAGCTTTCAGTGATTGGGATAATTTTTCCTGTGTCAAGACCTTGTTTACTTGGATATTAATTACTATATTCATAAGGATCCAAACTGATGAAGGGTGAAAGCAATATGGGGTTTCATCAATTAGTGCAATGCCATCTTCAAACAAGTAAGATCAACCCTTTATGTAGAACCATCGGAACTGTAAACTTATCAGAAATATCCTTCTATGTGCTCCCTTTCAATGTTTTACAGTATGGCTCCTAAATTTAATCCCATGTGGTTACTTCAATTTTGTTAATCCCATGATAATCACTCCAACCTTGTACAATACCTTCATTTTTATACGTGGGCACTAGGTTCTTCTTGACCATTCATTTGTCTCTTTCTTTGTCTGCATTGCCTTCTGTAAACAACTTTCTCAGCCATGAGAAGCCCACCTCTTCTATAGATTTTCCAATTTCTGTTAGCATATCATTGGGCCATTTCTTATTCCTCAGTCTCTTTTATTCCAGAAACATTAACCCTAACAAAATTTGTACGATTTTTGGTCACAACAAAGCCACTGATGCATCCTTATTTTCAGCTATCTAAATGTTTTTATAATTTCCTCTTACACTAATCTCTAAGAATAGTTTCTCCACCTTGATCTTATCATCCTTCACAAAATACTCTTTGATCCTCATTCTTGGTATGCTTAACATGATTTAAATGTGTACTTTTTCCTCTCTTACTTGCAAATTTGTAAACATTGTTATCTCCCTTTCTCATGCCTAGTGTATGGGAGAGTTTTCCATGTGACAAACTTCTCTTTGCTTGCTATCTATTTTGCATCTTTGTATCTTTCTCTCTTGCTAATTTTTGTAATGCGACCACTTTGTGGTGATACTAGATCTAGTACTAAGGATCTAATGTATTTGTGTTTTAGCAATAGCATTTTATTTTATTTTTTAGTTTTTTCCTTGCTTAAAAAAAGAAATGGAAACAAAGAATAGTGCTATATTGAATATCACAATCTTACATGGTTTATGGAATGTGTTGTAACTTGAAAAATGCCTTGTACCTCATATTTCTTCATATGAATGTGTACCCTGGTAAAATTCTTATCATTAGCTATTTGTTTCATCATGAAATGACATTCAAAACACACACACACACACACACAACTCAGTTAAGAGTCAGTGCTTCACCTTCTTCATTGCGACTACTCTGCAATGTATGTTCCATTTTTCTTTTGGGTTAAGTCATGCTTGGTCCATTTTATTAATCTCGGTAGGTGTCAATGGGTAATTTAAGGCGACTTTTGCATGCTTATTGTTTCTTGGCCTGTGAGACTAAGGGTACTCAAAAAAAAGTCATGTATCATGGAGCTTAGCTCCTGCCATTTTTTATGCCTTTGACACAAATAGTGGGATTTTTGAAGGCAAAAGTTGTTCCAGTTGGTCAATTTTTGGAAGACTGGAGCAGTTATTCATTTTTGTTCCTCTATTTTTGTGGGGTTTAGAGATTTGATATTCATTCACTTTTGTAATGAATGCAAATATTATCTTCAGAGCTCCTAAAGGTGCATGTTATGTATTTTGTAATTTGTACATCTGTCAATATAATGATGTACACTGACCATGTGATTGTTCTATACATGGGGTTTTCTGGCCCCTATTCTTGTTTGATACAGTTCTCTTTAAACTTTCCATTGATCATATAGTTTAACTGCCCAAAAGGACAAATGGAACTAAGAATTAGCTAATAATTTAATGCATTGTTATGCTTTCATGGGTATTACTAAGAATGAAAATGCAATATGGAATATTCTGTTCTTGGAATATATTCTGCCTTTCATATGCTGTTGTGCCGGTTTTCTACAAATGTAGTCACTTTTTGCATCTAAGGAAGTGGTTGCAAACCTCAACATTTCATTTTGATTGTCTTCAAGTGTTAGTGATGTCTTCTTATTCCTAATTGTTCACCATGGTGTCCCATGCCCCATAACCTGAATATTTTTTAGGTTGGACTAAACTTGGTGCTTTTCCCCATTTCTGACTTATAAACAATTGTTTTATGTATTCCTTTGCTTGCCAGATTACACAACACAAATGGGCATGGCCCTTTATGCAACCTGTAGATGTAAAAGGTCTTGGTTTACATGACTACTATGAGGTAAAGTTTCTTGTGATCTTCTCAGTATTGTCTGCATGGCATGCACATTTCTCCTCTGTGGTATGAATATATATATATATGTTACTCTAAGAATGGACGCTGAAATTATTGATATTGTCTACACTGAAAGTGTTTTTCAGGTTTGCCAAAGATTTAACTGTTTATTATATACATTTAGATTTTTTCCATTGATTCCTAAGTTATTATACACCTTGTTTTGGTATGGGGTTCCGTACTATTGACGTAGGAGTAATATCCTTTATTAATAATCTTCTCTTTTCCTTTTTATTTTTGATGAATAATCTTCTCTTTTCCTTGTCGTTATGGTTTTGGATATTCTAAATATTGGTCATGGATTAATTTGTTGTAGATGGTATATTTTAGGTTATTGACAAGCCCATGGATTTTAGCACTATCAAGAATCAAATGGAAGCTAAGGATGGCACTGGATATAAGAATGTCCGCGAAATATGTGCTGATGTGAGGTTGGTTTTCAAGAATGCAATGGCATATAACAACGAGAGAGATGATATTCATGTGATGGCCAAAACCTTGTTGGCTAAATTTGAGGAGAAGTGGCTTCAACTTTTGCCCAAAGTTATTGAGGAGGTAAAACTTGTTATCCTTGTATGAGTTATCTAGAACTTATAGGAAATTATGTTTTTTTTTTTTGAAAAGGTCATGCTATTTCTCTTTAAAAAATGTATTATATGCTGCCTTTTTATAATTTAAAATTCCTTTCCTTGAGTGTATTTCATGCACCTAGTTCATGATTTGAAATATCAGGGTTTAAATTTCAAACCTGTTTACTTGCAGGAAACAAGACGCAAAGTGGAGGAAGCTGAAGCCCAATCAGACATACAACTTGCTCAGGAGGCTGCTAAGACAAAGATGGCTAGAGATGTAAGCAATGAGGTTGGTATTTGTGCAAAGCAAAAGTGCAAAATTAAAATTGCCTTCTTAGGGAAGTATAGACGATGACCATTTCAAAGTTGCTTTTAGAATGGCCATATTTCTATTGTGGTGGGATGGCTACAATGCAGGGAGGCAAAGATGTGGAATTACAGGGATGAGATTAAGAAATTCAGCTGCCCAGTACCTGGCTGTAATTTGTAACGGTTCTGTTCCTATTTCTTTTTGTGCTTGTTAGGCTTCTGTTGATGGAAGCTAGTGTATACTTATAGGCCTGCTGCCCATTTCTGTGTGCACTTTGGTGTTTGCTGAGCGCTTTTTTTTATTGGAAACAGTTACTTGCATTAATTGAAAAGTCATAGGATACAAATGTCAACTACCTAGAAATAGGTGCTGACCCCACATTTTAATACAAAATTACAAAGCAGCCCAAAACAAATGCTCCTTAAATGTGCCTTGCTTTGCCAAAGTACCGGCTAATCCATTTGCTGATCTTCTATCCACCTAAAGGAAACCCCAATCCACCTTGCTAAGCAGTAGATTTCCCTCACAAGCTGTCTATAAATCCATAGCCCCAAACTGTTTGTTTGCAACCAACCTATTACCAGCTTAGAATCTCCCTCCACCTCAATTTGGTGGAGCCCCAACTGCTTGGCCAACCTTAGGGCTTGAAGTAGGGCTATCATTTCTGCTCTTAGTGAGGGCACAATTGTAAGAAAAGGAGGGAAGAAATAGAGGAGAGATAAGAGGTTATATCTCTCATTGACTGTTTATAAGCTGTTGTAATTGTACACTCTTTTTCTCCTTTAATAAAATTCATGGTTATTGTTCAAAAAAGTCCATATTTCTATTTCATCTCTGAACTTTTGTTGGGATATGACAAACAAATTGTATTGACAAAGATAGTGTGGACGCATTGCAGCTTTGTGAGATTGATATGCATTTGGAGGAACTCAGAGAAATGGTGGTCCAAAAATGCAGGTTTGTTTCTTATAGTAAATTAAATAACATAATTTTCAGACTTCACTTAAGTTGAATCTTGTGTGTGTAGATTTGATCTTGTTGCATTTGTAATAATTTAGGATTTTTTATTTGGAAAAAGCCTGGGTCTGGGAACATTAGAACCCATAACTAGTTTGAGGCCATAACATGCCATTTTTCGTAGATTAGGATGATCAAGACCTTCCATTCAATAAGTCCCACCTTGAAGATTAACTGAAGAAAGGGTCAATTTAAATTCTTCTCCAAAATGCATGTTTTTAGAGCAAATATTTACACCATAGTTTTCAAGGTGCCAAGGCAAGGCTAGGCAATGAGGAGCGCAGCGCACCTTGTAGCCTAGGCAGGCACCTAGGTAATGGATTTATTTTTAAATAAAAACCACGGATTCTGGGGTAATTCCCTAGGTTTCATGGAAAGTAGCAACTATCTATCACAATTATAACATAGAAAATGTATAAACTTCATTTAAAACTTAGGAAATCAACATATTCATGAAAAGATGGATGAAAGAAAAGAAATATTTGAAAATAGAGGGGCTGGGCCTCTATTTTTGTCCTAAGAAAAGAAAAGAAAGGATGTGTTGATTGCTTATTAGTTCAAGTTTTCAAGTCTTCGTGGGTTAAAGACGGTACACATCTTGATTGAACCCTAACATAAAAGAAAAATAATATAAAGAGAAAACTAGTATATAAGTATAAAAAAATATCTTGGCGATTAAGTGAGATGACCCTCCATGAGGGCCTTATTGCCTAGGCGTCATTCTACATGTTAAGCTACTTTGGTATGACCTGATTGTCATAGTTAGGTGGTATATCTTAGAGGCAGTCTCTATTTTATATGATAGTTGGTTCTTGTATCATTTGGTGTAGTAATAGTAGACATGTTTTTGCTGGTCATATGGTTTCTCATTTGATTGATAGCAGCATGTTTGTGTTTTATTGAATGGTTGCAAGAAATTGTTGTGACTATGTGAAATCATGAAAACCAAATCACCCAGACATGCACTCACAGGGTGATTTGGGTTATCTTTTGACTTATAGCATGTTTGGATTTTTTTAGAGGCTGCAAGAAAGTGTTATGGTTATGTGAAATCATCACTCCACATGTTAGGTTACCTTTGTATTTCTTGATATTCCTAGTAAAGTAGTGGATCCTAGAGGTAGTCTCCATTTTATTTTATGATGGTGGACAGTTCAAGTTCATCAGTTGCTTCTTTCCACCAAGATTCAAGCCTGTGACTTCAAATAGCATAAGCTCTAAGCAGAAAGGGAAACCCTGCCTCTGTGCATTACCCACCTTCAGCATTATTGGAATTTGGGTTCTTTAACATTGAAATTTTGTTTTTTTTTTTTT